GATTTGGAACGGGTCGGAAAGGACGCTTGGGAGCAATTGTGTCGATAGCCCTGGTGAGATCGGTGTTCCAGGTGTTCACCAAGGCTTCAACAGAATCGCCGGCATTACCAACCATTAAACCCTCTAAGGCTTTCTGGAAGCCGATGGGTTCCATTAGCCTTCGAGGGCGGACCATCCTAATGGGTCCGCCACCCCTAGGAGGGTGGACTGCAGCTCTCAGTTCCACCTTGATCAGGAAATGATCCATCCATGACAGAGCAGAAGTCTTTTTGACATCCGCCCACGGATATTCCTGTTCCGTACTAAAAACTGCATCGAGGGTATAACCTGCACAATGTGTGGGCTCGTCAACCAATTGGGATAGGCCCATGTTAGTCATGGTATCCATGAACTCCCGAGCTGTGCCAGTTAGATCTTGTAAACTGGATACAAATGTGATACAAATTCTTTTATTGTGCAAATAAAGTTCCTCAATGCTGCTGCACTTGGGGGTAGAGGAAAGTTTTGACTATAGTGGCCAAGTTCACAATCTTTTCCAATTAGTATGGTTACACTGGCATCAAGATTTCAGCTGGGTAAGAAAATAGCTTCCTTCAGTATGATGGCAAGGGAAGAATAAAGTACAGGAAGGTGTTATCTTTCACTTCAGAGTCTCCAGGAGGTTCCCTGAAGAAGCCATAAGTTATTTAATTTTTTTAAAAAATCCTAGAATCTCCACTTGGGTTTTTCTCTTGTTTATGGCAAGGTTTGTGTTCACAAGCCAAGAGAAACCTATGAGGGAAAAGTGTTTCTCTTTTTAATGGCATGAGGGAGACAGAAATTTATCTTATCATCCCTGTTGGCATATCTTATTACTGGAAACCTACAACTTAACTGAAGGCTGAACTGTATGTGAGAATTAGGGGAGGAGGAGGGAGTGGAGGGAAGGAATACTTGGGGTCAAAAATAAAATAAAAGTTCAGTGTTTTGTTTTTCTCCCACAGGATACAAATGAAATGTTTGCCTTTCCTCAAAAACTATGCTTCATGAAGGAAATAATTCCTTCAAACAGCTACACTTCATTGGAGGAAATGCATAGAGCATATGGAATAGATTGTTCTAACTATTTAAGAAGAAGACAATATCCTAGATCATCACTTTCAGCTATCAATATAAGTATCAGTATAATTAATTAATTGGTTGGTATTAATTAGCAATATAAAGAAATACAAGATCTATTAAGTATGAATTCTCGTGAGCCAGAGTTCAAGTCTCATGTGTTTTCCATAGCACATTTACATCAAAAAGGAAGCAATCCTATGTGCATTTATCTAGCACTAAATCCTTTACAAGGCCCATTAAATTCTCTTTTTTGTAAGCATGAGTGGGATCAAACTGAACACAAGTGAAGCTGATAAGAGATAGCTAACAGTGGATTGTCATTTTAAGGCTGTTGGAATAAAAAAAAGGTTTTACTTGCCAGAAAAAATTACTTTGGTGTTAATATTTCAGTCCTAAACTTTTCTTAAATGTAAGGCAGAAACCATCTTTTTGAATTCACAAAACTCTTGTATAAACACATATAGGCATATAGATCGTTTAATGACATTTTTAATGTAATTTTTGTATATTTTTATCTTTGTTGTGCCTTCAAGGCGATCCGATTTATGAATACCTTAAAGCAAAAAAACTATCAGGTTTTCCTGGCAAGAGGAGGTTTGCCATTGTCTTCCTCTAAGGCTTAGAGTGTGTGACTTGGCAAAGTCAAAGAATCTTGGGTTCAGAAATCATGATGAGCTATATCGCCTTCCTAGTTAGTTTTACCAACTCACACAAACTTAGCTTTGAATAAGCTCTGTATACCAATAATAATAAGAAGGATCAGCCATCTTCTCCTCAAACCAATGCCTCTTAACAAAACTAATGGCTTCCAGTCCCACAAAGAGTGCAACTGCAAGATGACAAATGCATAATTTCTACAAGCATTTATCCAACTATGGGATAGTCTACTACAGTGAAAAATGCCGTACTTATCCTGAAGCCAGTGCTGACTGTCCTCACAACATATGGCTATTTCTGGGGAGGATCCATAAGGTTTTTGTCCTTATCCCCTGAACTAAGCAAATTTGAGTGAAATCTGTTTGGTTGGGGAGATGGCAGCTGTGGCATCAGCAGTGGCACCAAAGGAGATAGGCCAGTGGGGTTGATGTGGTCTAGGCCTGGCTGGCCCATGTACACAATGATGCAGTGTCACAATAGATTCAGCCCAGTGTATTTGGTTACCATCATGGTCAGTCCAGGACCAGATTAAGCATCCAGTGTAGATGCACCCTACATCAAAATGCACAAGCAGCATTCAGAATGGTGACGAGCAGTAACACACGTCTCTTTAATATGGTTCACTTCAGCTTGGAAACCTATGGCTTCATCCCAGTTTTCCATTCTGAAAAGCATCCCAACATTGATTCCATAATGTATTGATACAGCTTTCTATACTTCTGAGATAGCACAGCCTCTGGCTTTCTGCATGGATTCTAGGGGTAGCATCCTTGCTGCCATCTTGAACATTATGTGCCTGCCATCACCATATGTTTTAAGATGGCTGCATAGTAACTAACACAATTGCACCCTCAGGTTAGGTGCTATACATTCCTTAGACTGGATGCAGTGCACCTTCAAAGGATGGCAGTACATTAATTCCTAAGTGGCAGGCATTTCTGAAAACTTGTCTGTTTAAGTGTTACATACTATTTTGGCTTTCAAGCCACTTTAAATAGCACATTTTCTTCAGCCACCCCTAGACTGTGGAATGACCTGCCAGAAGAGATTTACCAGTAGAATGTGCTGTCCAAACTTAAAAGAGCATTAAAGACCAGTCTCTCCCAGCAGGCTTATTCAGATGATTTTTAAACTATGATTTTTAAATGATGAATTTTAAATGTGGATTGTTTTAACATGTGTGCATCTTGTTTGTCCTTTTAAATTGATATATTTTACCCGATGTTTGTTAATTGTTGTTCCCTACCTCAATCAATGGGGAGAGTTGGGTAAGCTGTTGTTGTTGTTGTATGACACACATAAATGAGGCTAAGAGATCTGACAGGCCAGGATATAACATATCCCTCAACTGTCCCAGTTTGACAAGGACAAACCCAGTTAATTCTTTGCTATCCCACTTTCTCACCTGCTCTTAAAATGACCCAGTTTCTCTTGCCTCAACCCACTTTCCCTTTTCATTCTTGCTTACTTCAGTTGCTGCAAAATGAATTCAAACTGCAAAAGTAATTTTCACACAAATTAATTCACCAGGAGGGAGAAGAAGTAGCAGAGTCTCACCCTTCTCAGTTAACTTGCCTGGATTTTTAATTTTTACAAGCTTTCATAAAGTCAGTACATAAATTCAAGTTGTTCTTCTCATAGTTTTGTATGTTCTTCTTCATAAGTAACTTTTACCCTCTCCTTGCCTATTTCTTTTAACCACACTCTGATCTTACTCAGCCCCCTGTGTTCTGGTTTTCATCTGTAAAATGTTCAAGGGTATGCAATATGTGTATAGGTGGATGGTACTTGGAAAGTCCAGCTCGGGCCTAAACCAAGTGCACACATTATTACAGCACTCTGGTTCCACCTTAACTGCCATGGCTCCATCCTTTGGAATCCAGGGGTTTCTAGTTTGGTGAGGCATTTGAGCTCTTGTAGATAAATCTAAATGCATCCACCTAAACTTCAAATCCTGGGATTCCATATGGCAGTTAGAGAGGAAGCATAGTGTATTATAATTGTGTACACAATTATAATGGTGTAGTGTGAAAGGGCCCCAGGATGTAGACGTGATTTTCTTGAGCAACTATATCCACTCTGCAGCACTCTGACTTTAATCTAGCAGCCATGATTTCTAATGCTAATTTCTAGCCACATGGCTTGTTCAATACAAGATGACTATAGAGTAGTCAATTATGCAGATCACTGGGAAAATGTTTGTTTGATCTGACTCAAGCACATGGTAAGGAAGGAAAAGGCAACAACCCATGTCCAAGCTTGATATTTCACTAGTCATTGAAGATGCCTTTGAAAATAAGTTACACAAATTAACATCAGCCATATTATACATCCTTGGCTTTCTTTCCCTCTGTGGCCCTTCATCCGTAAGTGATAATCCATAGAGTGAAGGGAACATACTTCACACTAATTAGGGAGGAGCTAATTATCTACCATCAATTAGATCCTACAACCCTTATCTGTAAACAGTTGTTGGAGACACACATAAACAGATTAGGGACTGAAAGCCTAATTAATAAGGAGTAATGAGCTTCTTCATGTGCAAGGTGGAAGAGACATGTTCTTTCTCTGCAGAGGCCACTGCAAAAGTTCTAAAAGGGTATGCAAAATGAGTGATAGATGGCATTTTTACTATAACATCTACTTAATTTGGGGCTTTTGATTTTTTAAAAAAGTCTCCTACTATTTCTGCTGCTACTAGTAGTAGTTTTGCTCCTACTTCAAATGTATTACAATCGGTCCTCTGTATCCATGAATACTTTATTTACAGATTCAACCATCCACAGCTTTAAAGTATTCAAAACAAATATAAATTCCCCCAAACAAACCTTGATTTTGTCATTTTATATAAGGGACACCATTTTACTACAACATTGTATACAATGGGACTTGAATAGATTTTTATATCCATGGGGAGGGGTGTCCTAGAACCAAAGCCCAGTAAATACCAAGGTCCCACTGTACTATTTCAAATAGGAATTGTTTCCCTTGACAGTAGTATATTCTGGGAAGAAAAATAACAAAGCTGTGGGGTCGGGTAGATAAAAAGCTGTGCTTTCACAGTATATATATCACAGATATGTTGGTGGCGGTGATGTGTGTCTTCATGTCATTTCCATCTTATGGCAACCCTAAAACAAACCTATCATGGGGTTTTCTTGGCAAGATTTTTTCTAATGAAGTCTGCCTTCCTCTGAGGCTGAGAGCATGTGACTTACCCAAGGCCACCCAGTGGGTTTCAGGGCCAAGCAGGGAATCAATCCCTGGTCTCCACATTTATAGTCCAAAACTCAACCACTATGCCACACTGGCTTTCCATCACACACATAGACATAGATAATTATTGATTGGTTACTGAGTGATATATAGAGCCAATATGGTGAACTGATCTGAGCATGGATGATGACTCTGGAGACCAAGGTTTAAATCCTGGCTCAGCCATGTAAGCCCACTGGGTGACCCTGGGCAAGTCTCTCAGCCTCAGAGGATGGCAATGGCCAACCAACCCACCCCCCACCCCCAAAGAAACTTCCCAAGAAAACCACATGATAGGTTCACCTTAGGGTCGCCATGTCAGAAACAACTTGAAGGCACACAATGACAACAACAAATATATAGATCAGCTATATTGCTTCTGTCTTTCATCCTGGTCTGGCATGCTCAAGTTGACTTGCAAGGATTGTTAAAAGTATAGCAGGTTGTTGAAAAAGCAGAATCCCTCCAAGAAGATAATGTGAAAAGGAAGAACATAAAGAACATAAATGGTAGGTGCAGTCAAGACTGAGGTGTCTATCTCAGATAGTAGGTGCTATGGGACAATGGTAGCAACTTCCCCACTGGTCATCATGAACTCCACAACTGTTCCTGCAACTGTGCACGCCACACAAGCTGTCCTGAGCCCCTTAAACAAGCCTACTGCCTCAGTTGTGGTAATACACATCATTTCCATTGCCAGTTGTGAAGTATGATTTCATTGTCAACCTAGTGGAGACTATCTTATTCCTTGTCCTCAGGCAGCAAGGTCATTTAGGCAATTCATGCCTTACAAGGACTTGCATACTGTTATGGAAGCAGCTCCACTTTGGAGCTCCGTAGGCTATGTGGGGTTTTTTTAGCCTTTAGATTTTTATAGACGGTTTTCAATACTTTTAATAATTTTAATAGATTTATAACAATTCTTGCTCTTACGTTGTTATGCACTCCTCCCTTCCTTAAACTTCTTGAGAAGTTCTGAAAATGCACTGCTTCAAGTTTTTTGTTTCCTTTGGAAAAAAGAGATGATAGAAATATTATGATGTTTCTGTCATATTTATTAACAAATGTATCACTTGAACATTATAGGACGAAGAGCTTATCCCCTAGAAAAAGTAAATTCCACCAATCTTACTGGAGAGCTGGATGAGCCATGACAACTTTGGGCCTTTGTAGACTGCCAGAAATAGTGCAAATTGAGTCCACTTTAAGGGTTAGGGTTAGTGCTAGGGAATCATGGGAATTTTTTTTCTGAGACATTGAGCCTTCTCTGTCAGAGAGCTCTGGTGCCACAATAAAATATAGTTCCCATGATTCCCTAACCCTAATCCTTAAAGTGGACTCAATTTTCACTATTTCTAGCAGTCTGCAAAGGCCCTTTCTTCTCCCAGCTGCAGAACTTCAGGCAGCCGTTGCTCAGATATCTCCTAACCCTGATCCCACCAATAAATGGTGATGGCAATGCTCTCCAGAACTTAGAAGCTCCCTTATGTCCACACAATTTTGCACAAGGAGTTATTGAAAACCACTTTCCATGCTATCAAATGAAGGACATATGCTTGCTTGCATAACTGCAAGTTAGTATATGTCACCAAGAGGATTCCAGCTACTGTCTGTTGAAAACTGTCAAAGCATATATAGGTTTATTTAACATTATGAGTTGGAGAAGATCTCAGAGAAATGACACTCAGTTTGTAGTACAGCCAACCATTATGAGATGGGCAAATTCAGATATTGCTCCAAGTGCTTGTGAATGTTGGCACCATCCTTAGAATTTGATTTCACATATTGCTCTGTAAATTGACTTACTAGCAATCTGAAAACTTTTAATTTTTTTAGTTGTCAAAAAATATATAACAAAGTATAATATAAATTAAAATTCAAATGACCCTTTGGCTATCAGGAATATTGCATTCCTTTTGAATCCATTGTTTTAAATTAAGAACCTGACTAGAATTTATCTGGCGACTTATATCTTCATAAGTGGGCTTACATCTGCAGGAAATAGAATTGAGCAGTTTCACAGCATCTATATTCAGCAAGAGCCTGCTGTTATATTACTATGTAGAGAAGCTAGAAGACTGACCATTGCAAATACGGACCAATGTACAATGGGACCAATGCACATTGGGACCTGATGTACAACAGCATGATGCACAATGTGATCCAATGCACAATGGGATTCATTGTGCATCAGGACACTCTTGCCAGTGTCCCATTACATAGCTTTACAATGCACTAACAGTGTTCCTTAGCACCTCTACTACATAGGTAAGTATGTATAAAGTTATACAAGGTAGGCCATAATAGAAAATTCCAGCCCCCATTCTTAATAAATATATTACTGGACTGGTATATCAGTCTCACAGGAGCTCTAATATTTTAAGACACATTGATGGATGTGCTGAAAGAGAAGTTCCATAAAGCTCAGCACAATATAAAATTCTGTAGCTCTGTAAATGTAGATCTACACCGATATTAATTCAGGTATACACTTTTTAAAAAAAATAAAGTTTAAAATGAAATATATAATAAACCCATATTGATTATAATTCCCTTGCTTGTTTTCTCCATACAGAAAATCAACAAAATAAGCTGTTCAAATCAACAAAACGAACTGCCAAAATTATAGCGCTCTGATTTCATTATAACTGCCTTGACTCTATCCTATGGAATACCAGGATTTGTAGATTTAAAAGGTCTTTTAGCCTTCACTAGAGCCAGTGTGGTGTAGTGGCTTGAGTGTTGGACTATGACTCTGGAGAACAGTGTTCAAATTCTGGCTCAGCTATGGAAAACCACAAGGTGAGCTTTGGACAAGTCACACTCTCTTGGCCTCAGAAGATCGCAATGGCAAACTCCTCTGAAGAAACTTGCCAAGAAAACCTCATGATAAAGTCACCTTAAGGATGCCATAGTTGGAAGGCAAACAAGAAGAAGAAGCCATCTCTACCAAAGAATACGGGTACATCACAAAACTACAAATCCCAGGATTCTGTAGGATGAAACCATGGCAGTTAGAGTGGTGTCAAACTGTATTATTTCTACAGTGTGGGTATACTCCAGGTCAAGCTGTAATCCCTAGGACCCCAGGCTTTGATGAAAAGCCACCTTTTGACTTGGCACTGAAATGGGGCCAGTGCCAACACCACCAAAATGGACAGCCAAAGGAAAGACATTCTGCAGCCAGGGAACTGAAGTTGACAGAGCCCTTTTCTGCATTGTCCATAGGCAGTGAGAGCAGAACCTCCCTGGCAGATCCCATTGATTGAATAAATATATAGGAAGAGAGGCAGTCCTTCATGTATCATGATTACAAGCCATTTAGTGGTTTCAGTCATCACCAACCCCTTGCATTCAGACTTGAAGCAAATGGCAGCCAGGGCACAGCACCTGAGTCATGTTATTTCCACAAGGTTCTCTAGCTGCTGCACTTCATCTTCAAAGACAACCCCACATAGAGCAAGTTGCACTATTCTAATTAGACAGCTGCTGCAAGCCCACCTCCATTTGGCATTGTGTAAATATCTACAGGTGAAGATATGCTATGCCAGCACTACACAACCTTCATGCATACTAGCAACATTGCACAACACATGCCAAGATTTGGGTGCCACTGTGCAATGGACAATGTGCACTGAAAATGCACAACCACAGTGCTCAGTGAGCAACCAAAATGCAAAATGTGATACCACAATAGACAACATTGCTGTATATACTCTACTTCAGCCATTGTCAATAGAATAAGTCTGCTGAGCTATGATGAATAATTTCTGCTCCTTGTATCGTATGACTTACAAAGGAATGCCAGCCAGAGTCACTTTGGGTTCCAGTGACAGGGATGGATCCAGTAATACTCCCAGTCAGACTACACCTCTGTTGCTTCAGAAAGAGTGAATCACCCATTCAGAGCAAGTTGCTCACCCAATTCCTGGGCCTGGAAGCCATCACTTCTCAACCTCTGATGAAGTTATCAGCTCTATAGTGATGATTATCAGAAAGGGGTTTATCTAACTAGGTACACACACCAAAGGCATAAATCCTGCTATGGTTATTGAGATTGTAAAATATAGCCAGAACACGTTCTCTTAAAATACATAGAGTTTCTGGGTTGCAACCTGGTGATTGCATTTAGAGATAATAGCTTAAATGTGGCAGAAGTGGCTGCTTGCTTATACTCTGCTCACCTGGCATCTTTCCAGGTTCCATTATGTACCCATTCTCTATCAATTTCCTAGCACTGAATATGATATTTTGCAGCCTGAAGTAAAAGAAAAGGTGGTGCTCCCTCTATCTTATTACCAATACAGAAGCAAACTAGTCTGGAAGCTAAACTTTATTTCAGCATTGGCAGTGGGATGATGTCTGCCACCCCACCTGAGGCAGCAGACTTGTTTATGGGATCCAGGATATGTTGTTTGGAGTACAGCACCCCATCATTCACTGTAGAAGGGAACGCCATGAAGAGTGCAGAAGGAACAGCTGAGATATAGTTACCATCATCCCCTAACACCTACTGCCTCAGGCAGTCATCTCACTCTTGCCTAGCGAGCTGTCTTTGCATCTCTCTATAACAAAAATGGTGTGACTTGCACAACTCAGGCACCATACACACTACTTGATAGTTTCTGTTTGGCAAGGTGACCAGTGGTTCACAAACATGACCTCATCAGGACATGCAGTATTCCATTTTTTTTTAGAAGTTCTTCATAAAAGAGGCAGGAACTCTGCAATGGCAGTTTTGCATCCTTCATTGTGTGATAAGAGGAGTGGATCTTTCTCAAAGTCAGCTTCTCAAATATCAACACCATAATTCACTGATCATTAGTGTATAGGCTCATCAGGCATAGCTGTTTTGGGCTGTGCTTTCTCTGTTCCAAATAAGTCACCTTCATTGCTGTGATGTGTATTAATGTTTCTACATCTGTTAAGTCCTTGGGCTCAAAGTCACCACCAGGCTTTATGCCAGTTAGAATTCCTGGGTTTTTGCCATCAACATGTAAAACTTTCTTATGTTTCAAAGCTATTCATCTGCATCAACATAAGGATTCTTCATTTCA